CTTATATGTATTTTGACATTTAAATATAATATTTTCTCATCATTGAAATATTTGTCTGAATTCAATTATATTGACTTAAAAGTAACAATAATAAAGTTACCATTTTTTTTTTTTATATATGTAGTAATATTTATTTTTTTTATTTTTAGAATTATTAATTCTTATCATGCAAGTATATATGTATATATATGTANTTAAATAAAAAAAACAAACTAAAATAAATAAATTGTCCAAAATAAACCAATAAAAAACAAGGGCTTAAATCACTAGATAAATTGAGACACTATTGTAAAGAGTTTCGCACTTTCTAAATAACTTCATATTCATATTTTTTAAGAAAGAACCGTCTCGAGCTTATATAAATCTCAATAAATTTTGACAGTTACTTATTTTCTTTGCAACTAATGACATTATCTCTTAGTTTTTAATTATGTGGATAGATATTTCATGTAACATAATTAATTATATCATATAAAAATATATTTTATATAATTAAGTAAAAAACTATTATAAAATGTAATTAATTCTTAAATAAAAAACATGACAACATAATAATAAGAAACTGATATTATTCATTATGGATGATAATTTATCTACATATTCATATTTTTGAAATATTTTGAATCTTTTGAATTATTGAGGTGAGATTAAATAACATTATTACTGAAATTTAAAATAAAATAATAAAAGCTTTATAATTAAAATCAATTATTTAATTTAGATTAGCAACTTTATAATAACCACATAATGGCCTCTGCTATGGAACAGCAACAACAACAACAACAACAACAACAACAACAGCAACAACAACAACAAACTACTTTAGAATTTTATCAAGCAATGGCTGATTTTAAAAACATGTTTCCACAAATGGATGATGATGTGATTGAAGTAAGTTATTTAATAAAAATATTAAGTTATATTATATAATCATAAAAAAATCTTCATTCTAAATATATTATGATATATAATATTCAATTCTTTATTGAAATAACTTTTGAATGATATGTTGAACTTTTTAAAAAATTTTATAAAAAAAATATTAATTTTATATTTATTAATATTTTATATTATTTTAAAAGTATTTAATATAAATTTTTAAAACAGATAGAATATATTATGAAGTATATATTAATAATAATATTTAAAATCAAATATTAATTTTTATTTGTAAATATTCTTTTATATATTTAAAATAAAATTAAATTATAGGATTGAATATTATTATTTAAAAATGAAACATATTAAAAAAAATTTAATTTTTTTAATGACAAAGAATTTCTATTAAACAAGAAAATGGAATATTAGAATATTTTTATTAGTATGATAATATTTATAATAATTTTTGTATCTAAATAAAACAATCATATTATTTAGCATTTAAAAGCATATAACTAATAATCAATTAAAAATTTAAAAATTTTATAATTTATTTAAATTTTTTAGGCTGTATTAAGATCTAATCAAGGAGCTGTAGATACAACAATTGATCAGTTACTTACTATGAGTACAGATAATGAAAATGAAAAAATTAGGAGTGAATTAGAGCAAAATGAAAAATCACCAAGTACTTCTAAGTCATACAAAATAGATTCAACAATATCTTCAAAAAGTATACGTAAATGGCAACCTGCTTTATTAGGACCATTACCAGATACATTTCTTCGACTTCCTCAAGTTTCTGAAGATAGTTTAGATTCCTCTTACTTACAAGAAAATTCAATGATAGAAGATGAAAGAATTGCTATGTTTCTTCAAAATGAAGAATTTATGGCTGAATTACGTTGGAATGAAGACTTTTTATCAACATTAGAAAATGGTTTGTAATAACCAATAATAATTTTTATGATATAAGAAAATTAAGAAAAATATAAAATTCCAACTATATATATATATTTTTTATTATAGATACAAAAATTCAAGGAACAACTCTTGAGAAATGTGACAGTCAAATTGGTCATGATGATGAAGATCTTTTTAAAGAAAGACTAAAAAATATGGGCAAAAGTATATAATAATTTTTACAATTTATTATTATCATATTATTATTAAATTATTATATAATAATTATATATATACATAACATATATATATAATATATAAAATATATATATATAAAATTTATTTTATTTTTATTATTTTTTATTATGTTTCAGTGTCTCGACGTAAGTTTGCACAACTTACTAAAGTATTTACACGCAGTAAAAAACGAGGAGGTAGACAGTTATTACCTCCAACAGCTTCCTATGACGACTTATTAGATTCAGAAGAATCATCTAGATTTCAATCTTAGAAATTAGAACAGCTTTCTTAATTTGTCAGGAAAAACAATGACAAAAATTCCAATTGATACTACAGTAATTTATCCAGTTCAAAAGCAAAAAAGAAGCATATCCTTATTAGTATTAATAATTGAATGGAAAATTATAAAAAAGATTTAGATGATAATAGTTTTATTATTGTGGATTATATATTTAAATTAGAACTCAATTATTCATATTCCATACAATTAATTTACATAATAATTACTAAATTATTTAAATAATTTCAATTCAAAAGCACAGAAAGATCAAAAAATATAAAAATAATAGCTTTATAGATGTCTAAAAAAATGCAAAATTACAGAATATTACATATTTTAATAATGTAATATGAACAAGTACACGTTCTAAATACTAACAGTACAATAATTACAACAGTCATATTGTTGAAATAAGAATTTATTAAATTTTATTAAAAAACATGAATTTTTTTAATGTGACATTTTATAGCTTTACAATATGATATTCTATATATAATTCATATTATTTATATTATCTGTAATTTATTATTAGTAGTAATTTAAAAAATTTATAGTTTTTCGTAATTTATATTTATTTAAAATAAAAGGTTTATAATTTTTGAATTTATAAAAACATAATATTGTTAAAATATAGAATAAATGATTTATGAATATCAAGTGAATAATAATAAAAAAATTATTATCCAAAGCTATAATAAACATTTAAAATTGACAAATTTGTTTCTTAATATTTGATTTTTATATGAATTTTTGGTAATATAAAGGCAGATTTCTTTTTATATTGCTACATGCAATAATAATGCTTTTTTATTTATAAATACATTTTTAAGAAACTCCTATCTATTTAAAAGTTGTAAACATAATAAATTCTAGTCTGTTTATCTAGCCATTACTTATTTAATCATAAATATTAAAGATTGCAATTATATATATCATTGATATAAAAAATATTTATATATAAGTATAATTAAACATAATATATGGAGAACCAAAACAAGTTTAGAACTATTGAATTTTAATATATAAAAAAAAATAGTAAAATCTCCATATTCATGGTTTTATGTATATGCTTGGATACAATTTCAAAAAATTAAATAAATTCCTGAATTCTTACTAGAACTTATACAGAATCATATCTATCAGAATTATATAACATAGATAATTTTAGATACTGATATAAATAATGCATCACATATCTTCATCATTCACTTTATTTCATCTATCATATAACATTGTATTATTATTATATTGCTGTTTTTTAACATAATTTTTATTGTTTTTCATTATTATTCATTACTATTTAAATTGTTAAGTTTTATTATTAATTATTTTTCTTAAAATTTAATAATTAATAAATTAAATTTTATTATAGATATATATAATATATATATTATAATAATGTATATTATTCGCAAATCTTGAAACTTATCTCTATGGATATGGAGAGTTCACTGTAAACTGTCTTTTTAATAAGTCAAAATTTATTTTATATATTACTGTATTTTTATTTTCTCATTATTGTAATATATATAATACAAGTTACAAAAGGATTATGAAAATAAAATAAATTTATAGCATATAATTATAGCTGTTTTTAGCATTTAAAGCTTTTTTATAAAGCACATAACATTATTCATTGTATAATTTGATATTTTTTTATACATTAGTAATGAAAAATATGAAACAAAAATATTTAACTATCACATTATAATTAATCAATTCAATAATACATTATGAAATATTATGTATCAGATTGTTTAAAAAACACTCTAGCCCCAGATAAACTATAATAGAGCAGTTGAAATTCAGCACTCCTTTCACCTAAGCGTTTTAATGTTAATGCCCTTGTTTGTTGCAATTTTTCATCTCCATGAATATTTTTATTACCTTCTGCAATTTGTTTTTCAGCATTTATATATTGTTCAACTGTTTTAAACCAATGTAAACTATCCAATTCTGATGACTGATTTAAAAGGGCATTTATATAAGCAATTCCCATTGCAAAACCATCATCAGTAAAAGCTGCACCTATTTGATTTTTCTTAAACATTTTTTCTTTATTTGATATTGAGTTATCAACAAAACTTAATGTTAATGGAGGTACAATAGCATAAAATTGTTGCAAATGATGTGATTCAGTATCTCGAAAAGCAGATGCAAATACATCGACAAGAAGTTTGAAATATTGTATACCTTCTGTGAAATGTCGTACTAAATTTGCAATATCATTTTCTAAGCATTTTGCTGCTGCTTGAGTTGTTGCACTATAATTTAAATTTTTACACATTAATTCAAATGGTATAGATGAATCAATATTTGGCAAGAATGAAACAGCATTCGAACTAGCATGTAATCCACCAGATCTGATTAATCGTACATAGCCCAATGCATTTCCAATATGAGTTATTAATTGTCGAAATTGATCTAAATAACTTAGACCATCAGGTGTCATACCTAATTTTCTGATTCCTTTTTGGAATTTTTCTGCTCTTTCGTATGTATAAGGTGTTGTTCCATTTTCTCTTTGAGTTTTAATAAACCTTATATCTCGCATTAATCTTGATTTTATATGTTCATCAAAAAGAAATTGTGAAAATGTATGTAATTTTATACGAAGAAATTGATAAACAAAGTTAACTGTTGTACTCATAATACCAGTTCCATGTGTTCTAATAGAATTTGCTATATGTCGAATTCCAATGGTATTTAAATGTTTATTGTTACTAGTATGTTCAATAAATGTTTGAGTGTTTAAATTATACAAGTATTTTGAAACAAATACATGAATATTTCTCATAATTTCTAAAGCATCCAAACCCTGTTCCAAGGTTTGTGTAGGTAAGGGATTTTGAACAGTATCGAGATTTAATTTATAATGTGCCAAAGCATGCATCATTCGATATGTTCTCCAATCATGCAATGCCACTGTAGTGAGATTATAAAACATATCATCAAGATAATGTTCGATAAATCTTTTGGCATATATCATACTATTTGCTAAAGGTAGAGGCAATGATCGCACTATTCTTCCACCATCTTTTGCTCCAATATTAAATGGATTTGTAGAATTCAACTTTAAATGCTCATGAACATGAAGCCTTAAATTAGTTTCAATCTCATGGCAAACAGGTTCTAATATATTTTTGGTTAACATTTCTTTTAATTGCATAATTCTTTTTTGTTTTAAATTTAATCCTTCTTGTTCACTTATAGTACTATTAAATGCATTGAACAAATGAACAATATGATTTATATTTAAATTACTATCTGTTACAGAAGAAAAATAAGCTGGAATTATATTCTGGTGGTACAATAATATAGAATAATCACAGAGATCTATAATAATATTATGCAACTCAGCAATAATATCATAATTATTTAATGAAAAACGTAATTTCACCATATCCTCTTCTTTGAAAGTATCTGTTAATTGATTAGCACATGCTAGAGCACATCTAATTATTAATCTCCTATCTGCACTTGGTGGTCCATTTAATAATCTCATACTTAAACCCACTAATGATAATGAGTCTAATTTTTCTTTGCTATAACCTTTATCTTTCTGAATCAAACTTTTACGTGCAGTTTCTAATGTAATTAATATATAATAACTTAAATATTGTAATACTTGACTTTGTGATTGCACTATAACTGGTCCCAAAATATAAAATGTAGTCTGTAAAGATTTTTGTACTTCTATTAATCTACAAATTAATTGGACAGTATTGCGATTCATTGGTTTAATAAGAATTGCATGCATATTTATTATAAAAGATATGATTTCTTTAATTTGAGATAAAAGAGCAACTAAATCAACTAATAAAGATTGTTTTTGTCCAATATCTGAAATTTGAAGACTTGTTTTCATTAAAATACTTTGCATATCAATGCACCATGTTACTGCTTTCTGAATTAAACTATTTACAGTTTGCGAAAGTTTCTGTATTCTTGAACTTAATATTTTTTCTCCTATTTGTTGATTAATAGTATTTCCAGCTTCCTTTGGCAAAAAATCACTTAAAAATTTACTTGGAATCCATATAACATTTCCAATTAAATTTACAGCATAGAATTTTTTATTATTTTCAAGCACCTTTTTAATTAATCTTTTATCACAGGTACCAAATAATTTTGTTATTATAACAATACCAATATTTATTTCAATCCAATTCTTATTTAACGAAACATAATCATTTGGTTTATTTTCTATATCTATTATTAAATTTTTTAGATAATTAGTAATATGTTCGCTCATTATAGATGCTTTATTTACATCCATTACACTTTCTATTGTCTTAGAAAATAAAACTTTCTTTAATAAATTTTCTTGTAAATCTTTCAATAACTTATTGAACACATGTAGTTTAGATTCATTTATACCAAATTGTGATGGATTATGCATAATAGAACGTACATTCATTCTATATTTTTTCCATTGCTCTTGTAAAGATGGTTGAGATTCAACAATTTCGTCTAATGTTAAAACAATTATAAACAAATCAATAAAATGTTCTATTAATACGGGTAAATATATATCATTAGAATCACTGGCTAGATTAGATAATTGTTCTGTTGTTAAATGTGTAACTGTCCATATTCTATTTACAAAAACAAATAAATCTTGTAAATCAGATAGAAGAGATGTGATATTACTTTGATTATTTTCTGTTCCTTTTTCTCCATGAATAAACAATTTTTTATAGAATGTTTTAGCTTCCATTACAAGAAGTCTAATTTCTCTACAAGTACCAGCAACTGCAGCAAGTAATTTTGATAAAAATTTATTTTCCATTTCTATTAAACTTATCAAACTAATATCCTCAACAGGTTTATATACAAGCCGAAGAGGGCCTTCTATAAAATATTCTAATGTAGAATCTTTTTTCCATGTTTGCTTTGCTAAATTTTCGAAAAATTGTCCATATTTTCGCAAATGTATTGAACCTGCCGCTTTATATATTGTTTCGTCTTTTTTCGTATTCCATGTTGACGATTCTATCATTATCACTTCTTATATATTAGTAATGCTATATAAAATATTATTTTTATCAATAAATAAATAATAAAATTTACTTTTTAAATTAGTATATCTTTCAATAATTCACACATAATAAAGTTTCATTATAATTTCATACTTTCTCAGCATTACTTCTCATAATAAAAATATTATTTAATAAACAATATCTTTAAGAACTTTTGAATACTACACTATTATTTCTTTCATGTTTATAAAAAAACAATTTGTACAATATGTATATATATTATAAAAAATTAATAAGTAACACTATTATATTCTGTCCAATGAGACGAGTCAAAAGATATAAATAAAACTATATGATTAAAATCTTGAGGCAGTAAGATTGGTTAACAATATTGAGAAAATAAAAATTTACTGTGCGAAATTTAATATGCAAAAGATAAGAAAAATGCAAATCAAGAATTTATTTACTTTAAAATAAAACTTAAAATAAAACTTTAAAAATTAAATTTAAATTTTTTATTTTTATGGCTTTTATAAATATTGATATACAGAATTTGAAAATAATTATTAATTGAAATTAATAATTTGAAATAAATAATTTTGAAATTCACTAATTTAAAAATCATTTGCAAAATTGCAAAATTTTAGGAATTTTAGTTACACAATATAATA